CAGATGAAGAGTGGGTACATCAATTTTAGGTGATAGAAATAGTTCAAGAGAGGTGTCACACCATTTAAAAAATCTTTTAGGACTTGCTTTTTGAAATCATGATTGTTTATGGTTGTAAAGATTTTGTTTCAGAAATGACTGGTGGAGAAAGAAGTGTATTGAGAGTCAAAAGATGGGACTATGCCACTGATGGGCACAGCGAAAAGCTGCAAGACGGTGCCCCGTCTTCCCAACTGTAAAATGGGCATAACAACTACCAGACTTCCATCAAAACATTACGCTAGCGATACGATGAAGACTAAGTGATAGAACTTTAAAAGGCAGCATGCCTCATATGTGTAAAATGCTATTTACTTGGAATATTTTTGTAGTAAAATTATTTTCTTTGGACAAGATATAGATTCAGAAGAAAATGATCATATTTCTATGAGATTAGGATTCAGACCATTAGAACTTTTTTTTTTTTTTTTGAGACAGAGTCTTGCTGTGTCGCCCAGGTTGGAGTGCAGTGGCCGGATCTCAGCTCACTGCAAGCTCCGCCTCCCGGGTTCACGCCATTCTCCTGCCTCAGCCTCCCGAGTAGCTGGGACTACAGGCGCCCGCCACCTCGCCAGGCTAGTTTTTTGTATTTTTTTAGTAGAGACGGGGTTTCACTGTGTTAGCCAGGATGGTCTTGATCTCCTGACCTCGTGATCCGCCCGTCTCGGCCTCCCAAAGTGATGGGATTACAGGCTTTTGCCACCTTGCCCAGCAGAACTTTTTATATTTATTAAATAGCTACTTTATGTTGGGTACTGAATAAGTCTTATTTTTAACACCTCATTTCCTTTACAAAATGGATGGAATCTTTGGACTAGGGGAAATGTATGGTCCCTGCAGCTGTAGTATTTTATGATTCTATAGCTTTTGCCTTCAGCAACCTTCTCTTAGAATCGTGATTTAAGGGCTGGGCGTGGTGGCTCACACCTGTAATCCCAGCACTTTGGGAGGCCGAGGAGGGCAGATCACCTGAGATCAGGCATTTGAGACCAGCCTGGCCAACATGGTGAAACCCCGTCTCTACTAAAAATAAAAAATTAGCCCAGTGTGGTGGCATGCACCTGTAGTCCCAGCTACTAGGGAGGCTGAGGCAAGAGAATCACTTGAACCTGGGAGGTGGATGTTGCAGTGAGCTGAGATTGTACCACCGCACTCCAGCCTGGGCGACAGAGCATTTAAGCCCGGTGGCTCACACCTGTAATGCTAGCACTTTGAGAGGCTGAGGTGGGTGAATTGCTTTTGCTCAGGATTTTGAGACCAGTCTGGGCAACCTGGCGAAACCCCATCTCTATAAAAAATACAAAAATTAGCTGGTTGTGGTGGTGCACGTCTGTAGTCCCAGCTACTTGAGAGGCTGAGGTGAGAGGATGACTTGAGCCCAGGAGATCCAGGCTGCAGTGAGCTGACATAGTGCCACTGCACACTGCATTCCAGACTGGGCAACACAGCAAGACTTTGTCTAAAAAATAAAAAATAGTGACTTAAGATACTGACAGTATAAGCGCAACCAAACCCATGGGCATCTGTGCTGGGAATAAAAGACAGACGTGTTTTCATTGCACTGATTTAGAACTCTGGTTGGAAAGGAAAACTGAGATCTCTCCCGCAGTTGCCTAAAATGCTTTATAGTTATGGGAATGGAAAAGCTGAACTCTGTGATTTGTGGGTAGAGGGAAGGAGGACGAGTGTCCTTTCTGATTTCCTCTTTTTCCTTCTCTTCCAAGGGGAACTAAAAGGCTAGGGCAACAATTTAAAAAGAAAAGGCAAGGAGCTACTAGGGGCAGAGTTGGGAGGGAAAAAGGCCAAACCCACTAAACAATTTCACTTCAGTTACAGTAAATCTCAAATGATGATGCTACACTCCTGAGAATGTTCCATGGTGGAAATGCCTGGGCTTTGAAGTTTGAGCAGGGAAGTACCAGGAGAGGGTGACATGATAACATTCAGCAGGAAGAACACTGCTCTTGTCTGTTTGACGGTCCTATTCCTCCAGATCACTCAGTCTTCACCAATCAAGCACATAGCTCCTTCACATGTCATTTGTGGAGGGAAAGACTCCTAGGAAAATGTTTTCTAGGAAAGGGAAAAAAGCAGAAAGGAAAGGTCTCCTGCTTGCTACAGCATCCGTGTTGCACAAGCAGTATTAATGTAGTGGGGTATTAATCACTTAGAAGAGTTCACGTATTATTCCTATCTGGGCTCTGCAGGGTCCTTTCTTCACTTCTTTCTCACCATTTGGATTCTGTCCATTTTACTCCTCCCTCTGCACTTGGAATGGAAGCGAAATTTGTTGTGCCAATTCTCTACTTGTTAGAAGCCATGGTAATGTTTAGTAGGGGAAAAGATTTGTACTGCTACATGGAAGGAGGTTTTGCGATTATTTAAGGCTTTATTTTGTTGATGGGATTCCTAGAATCTACTACCACTGGGTACACTAGACAAGTTTGTAGATTTACAAAAGTGTGGAAAGCATGGGTTGCACTTGACTTCTTTATCCAGCTCTTTGGTTCTAAATTTATTGCCAATTTTATTTATCAAACCTATTCTCAGTGGAGTAGTATTTTCTGTGGTCACAAGGAAACATCTGTGAGCTTAAACCTTAGAGGCAGATAGCCAGTTAGAACATTTGGCATATGAAGCTTAGATAGCAGAGGAGAAAAATTAATCAAGGCAACCCTCAAAAATACTGAGAAGGCAACTAAGAAAAATTTCTTATCACTGACAGACTGCAGTATTGAGTTCGTGTTAATTAGGAAATGTCAGAATACATAATGAATCAATGAGGAGTGTCATATTATGGCAAGTTTCAATGTTGGTGTCAATCTTGACTACCAAGATTTATGGTAGATTATATAATGGAATCCTGAGTTCTGAGAGATCAAAGGAAAATGCTGGCTCTTTCTTCATCCATTCTCTTAGGTCAGGCCTACCCAGCAAGAAGCCAAGTTGAGAATTGAGCAATTATCTGAAGTGGGCAGTGGAGACGGCCAAACCAGATAATATATAACCAGAAAGTCACCATGGAGGGAAAATGTGGACTGAAAATAGGATAAGGGGTGGAGGTAGAATGTCAAGCCATTTGGTCAGTGTCCACAGTCCAGATTTACTGAATAACAGCCAATTCCTTACTTCATGTGGTTATTTAGAGCAAGACTAAAAGACTAGAGTGAAAAAAAAAAAAAAGAGTTCATTACTAAGGTTGTTGCATGTTTGTGCAAAATTTCTTCAAATCTCTATTATTATCTGTTACATGTCTAATTCTGAGTACTTCCAGGGATTGCGTTTCATTACTTTAGATTAGTGGGTTGAAGTGGTGGAGGAAGCCCATATAATCTGACTTACATGGAGAAAACAGGTCTTTTTTATAGTTTAGTTCAGTGTTATATTTAATTAGCCTTCTTTTCCCTCCATAACGCATGCTTATGAATTTTCCCCTTAAAATTCTGAACCTCTGACCTTTATCATTTCCTCATGGAGCAATTTCTGTATCTCCTTAACTTTAGTAGAACATAGCAATGAAATATACAAGTTCCCTATAATAGAATTTGGGTGAATTTTGATTTTCTAAAAACACAACTACCAAAGTCTCAGGACCAGTGTGGTACTTTTTTCTTCTATTTGATATGGAAACCATAAACTACCTACTTTGAGCAGACGTTTCCCACTCCTAAAACATAGCTATCTGTCCACTGTCCCCTGTAAATCTGTCGGAGTGCACCTGCTAATTCTGAAGCCTCCCTAATACAATGTTAAACTTTCCTTTTCTTTTTTTTTTTGAGGAAAGAAATTGTAAATTAGGTTCACTGTTGCTTGGAATTAGGAAAAAAACAAAAATAAAAACCCAGGCATACTAATATTTCAGATGGAAAAACAAAGCTACGAATTTAACAAGTTTTTCCCCCTCACTCTATCATGTCTTGTACATTTAAAGCTGTTATACAACATTTTAAAAACAAACCAAAAAAACCCAGGGCCTTTTTCCAATAGCTTAGCTGATGACCCACAGTAAAAACATGCCCCATGGAATATTCTTAAAGCACCCCAAGGGAGTCTACTGAAATAATTTACAATAAAGGAAAAATTCAGAAGAATTTTACATACAAGTAAAAATTAAGAACGTTGTTTTATAAGCAATAGGGAAAAGCTGTATTAAGTTGCATTGCTCAATTTCTCACTTGCTCTGTGCAGTGACTACTTTTTTGACCATGTAACAACGTCTGAATCTTCGTGGTGAAATCATACCTACCACAGCCACAGCAGGTTTTGTTCTGCTGCTGCACATGTGATTTGAGATACTGTGGGTTGGGAGATTTTTTTTTTTTTTAATTTCTAATGGTAAAATGGATCTATAGAAATGGAAGTCATCTGTAATCCCAGCACTTTGAGAGGCTGAGGCGGGTGGATCACCTGAAGTCAGGAGTTCGAGACCAACCCTGCCAACATGGTGAAACTCCGTCTCTACTAAAAAGATAAAAAATTAGCTGGCAGGCGTGGTGGTGTGTGCCTGTAGTCCCAGGTACTTGGGAGGCTGAGGCAGAAGAATTGCTTGAACCCAGGAGGCGGAGGTTGCAGTGAGCTGAGACTGCACCATTGCCTTGCACTCCAGTCTGGGTAGCAAGAGCGAAACTACGTCTCAAAAAAAATAGAAGAAATGGAAGTCATCCCATGGGCATGAGTTGGTGTAGTGGATTATGGCCTGTACATAAATGAAGAAATGCTTGCCAGTGGCGTCAACAGTAACTAGCTTAAGCCCTACTCAGCTTTGTGAAATAATGTAATCAAGGAATTTGATCTGAACAGGTAAGCCAAACATTGATTCTTCAGTGCCTATTGATAAGTGAGACTACTTTTCTTTTTACAGCCTCATTTCACTTAAGTGGGGAATCAAACTAGCTTTAATTAAGGAAATCTGTAGAAATCATTCACCTGTCCCTTTCCTTCTCTGTTAAAAAAAACAAAAGGGAGAAGAAAACTAGGAAGGAGTAAGCACAAAGATCTCTTCACGTTCTCCGGAACTGTAGTAGCAAATAGCAGCACGGCGCTTCTTGAAAAAGGATGTAGATTTTAATCTGAACTTTGAACCGTCATTGAGGTATGTGTGAACATACTAGTTTCCTCTTTCTCCCTCCCGACTTTGTCCATGAACTCATAGGATCTAATTTGGTCATCAGTTTGGAGAACGATTTTTCATTTAATTTCTTTCATGATCAAGTATGTATTGTCAGGCGCTTAGCAGTACACCTACTATCTGATGTGCACTCTACGTGTGTTGCTTAGGTTGAAATTAAGGATACAATCTATGCACTACCACCGTTTAAAAAAATCCCTGACGCCTACTGTGTGGGTGAGGTTTCTTTGCATATTATCAGAGAGGTTAACCAATTTATTTACATACTCCGTAGTCCACTCTAAGTACGGAAAACCCAAGTTTTTTTTTTTTTTTTTCTTAAGAAGGAGTTTTTATTTCATTCTTTTTCCCTCAGAGCTTTACCATGGTTTCCAGCAAGTGAAAACATTTCTTGATTTGAATTTCACAACCTCCTTCTCCTCTTGCCAGTTGTGTGGTGCTAATAGGAAGCATAATGTGAGTGTGCATTTAATTTAACCCTAAAATAGGAGAACATCTTCAGAATACAGACTTTATATATTCAGTGACCTACCTGAAAATAGAGACATAATTCTAACCTTCTCAATCATTAAGAAACATTTCTATTGAATTTAATTATTCAAAGCAACAGGTAGCAGTTTCACAAGAGAAAAGAAAAGCCTTACCACTTGTATTTGTGGTCACCAAGTAATGACATTATTTTTTATTTAAAATTAAGATAAAATAACTTACTGTCAAGTCCATTTCTCATTTCCTCCATAGAACATTTTAAAACTAGTTCACAAACCTCTTGAAAAGTCATGTCTCTATTACAATGAAAGTGCAAATTGTCACCATTGCCTAGAAGTCAACTTGAGGGGCTGTGTATCTATGTAGCATTTTGCAAATCCAGTAGCAGCCACGTGATAGGAAAGATTAAATGCACCCCTGATTTGTGAATACTACCCTAGCCTTCAAAATGTTCAAAAGCACAGGAAGTCTGGACTTTTAAAAATATAACCTGCCCAAATTGCAAGGGAGGGGTTGGGTGTAGGACCTAGGTCTGTCTGCCAATCAGCTTGAGATGCCAGTGGACTAAACCTGACTTCACTAAAAACCAGACTGGCAACTATTACTCAGCGTGGTAATTTCCTAATTGTAGAACTGGCCTGTTTGGTGAAGTATTTCAGGAAAATTTTTAACTGGACCTTTTCTACCCTACTGCATAGGAAATGAAGGTTTCTAGGCAAAGACTTTACTTAGTGACTAACCAAAAATGGTAAATAAAGTCACCAGTTCCAGGCTTAGCTACTGTCCTCAAAAGTGCTGCAAGACTGGTCAGGCCAGTCTTCTGAGGCTGGAGGTGCATGTGGAACCCCCAGAGCCTTGTCTGCAAGGGCATGGCTGACTGCAGGCTGTTTAGAAGCACCCTGCCCCGTGAAACTCCTCTGGCTTAGGAATTTTAAACAGTTCTAGTTCTAATCTCTCTGCTCAGAGTCTGAGCAGCTGTCAATGAGCTCTCCTGTGAATCACGGAAATGTTCATGGGTGAGCTGCTCTAGCTTCTTACTTCCAAGTAGAAGGTGCCTTGTAACTCTTTGCCAGCTTGATACAGTGAGTTCGATTCATCTTTTGGGCAGCAGGGAGAGATAGTGAAGAAGGAGGGGAAACAAAGATTTTAATATATAAATGAGTCTTGCATCTAGCTGAGGTTGAACAAAGTAGGAGAACCAGTGCAAGTCACTGGGGGTATGGATCTCATACCATTTTCAGCATGCACCTCCCTTTCTCTCTTTTTGTTTCTACACATGTCAGTCCCTGAGTAGTCTTGCATTGCTTTTCCCACTTTGAAGTCTTAGATTCAAAACCGATGATTCCAGAAGGGTCTAAGGTGCCATTGCTGAGACTTTGAAAGAGACCTGAAGCAAACTGTTTGGATTCTAGATGCCATTGTGCATCTGCCTGAGTAACTGTGTCACTTAGGTTGGTCACCAGAATAATTCTCCTTCATTTTTGCTGCCCTTCCAATTCATAAACAACACTGAACATCAGTGGTTCTCCCATAATCAAATATATTTGGCTCTATTAATATTAAAATTTGGTCTTGAGTAGAAAGATTCTAAGGGCTAAAAAGTAAAAGATGTAAAATGTATGTTGATAGGTTAGTGTAGAAGCCACACACGGGGTTTTCTCCACTCCCACTCTTTCATTTTTTTTAAGATCCAACACTCAAATTACAAAAGTCTATTTTTTTTTTTTTGGAGACTGAGTCTCACTGTGTCACCCAGGGTGAAGTGCAGTGGTGCAATCTCAGCTCACTGCAACCTCTGCCTCCCGGGTTCAAGCGATTCTCCTGCCTCAGCCTCCTGAGTAGCTGGGATTACAGGCGCCCGCCACCATGTCCGGCTAATTTTTGTATTTTCAGTAGAGATGGGATTTCACCACGTTGACCAGGCTGCTCTTGAACTCCTGACCTCAGGTGATCCACCTGCCTCGGCCTCCCAAACTGTTGGGATTACAGGCATGAGCCAACGCCCCTGGCCACAAAAGTCAATTCTGAACTTAAAACATAAAAGTTCCATTTCTTTTATGGTCTACTTAGTCATGTCTGGAGTCAGTGAGCTCAGTCAAGTGGTTTGTAGAATGACAGTTGTGATACCTATTCGTTTATCCACCAGATTATTTTCTGCTCTCCATGGTGCTTTATAGAAAACAGTTTATTCAGTCATTACAATAGCTCTAGGAGCGGGTTTCATTAAACCCACTTTCTAGGAAAGCGAACTAAGGCTTAGAAAAATCAAGTAATTTGCTAAAGACTACCCAGCTGGTAATGATATGACAGGAGTTGAACTTAGGACAATAACTCAAGATCTTGGTCCCTGTAAATATGGGTTTCCAGGTTATGTATGCAGGCAGAGGGCTTAGATCCTGAAGGAAATACAGAAGCAGTATAAAAAGGAAGGATCTCTTCCCATAGGAAGCTTGTCATCCATTGAATGAGGAACTCAGATTTCCACTGTGAAATGATATTTGTATCCCCATTGTGTGAGAGATATGGGGACTCTGATCATCATAAAAGCACATTTTTCCTGCCTATAAATGATGCTTAATAGAGCTGGCAGATTATATGTATCTGGAACACTTTTACTTAGCAGAAAGACAACAGGCTAGGATTAGCTGACTAGTAATTTTATTTATCAAGCTCAATTCCCATGCTGACTTCTCTTCCACTAGTGAAAATGTGTCATCAGACTTGGTACCAAACTGGAGAGGTGAAAGGATCCTTTGACCAGTATAATAGCCATGCCATCAGTTTTGCTTTCCTAGTTAAGTTTGATATGGATTAATGATCTACATCATTATTTTGGGGGTTTCTAAACACATATGAACTAAAGACGGAAAAGATGATGGAAAAGATGGAAAGAGATGACTCAGATGTACAAAGGCTTGCAGAGAGAAGGATAAGCCAAAAAATTGGTAAATCACACATGAATAATCAAGAACTGACTACAATATAATAATACGTGTTCATTTCCACTAATGAATAAGCTGCCATTATGTCTCCTCATTCTCTATTTGGGACAAATTACTTCTCTGCTGTATTTCCATTCTTACAGGTACCTATCTGCTGTGATTTTTCTCAGTTTTGGCTTTATCTTGTTGCTTTAATCTTGTCTCTAAGTAAATTGCAACCCAGTAAATATATTCCAGTATTGTTTATTGTAATTCCTGCCTTTATGTCAGGTGGCAAAAGGAAGGGACTTGTTTTATTAGTTTATCAGTCTGGGTGTGTGCTAAGAAGAGCCTTAGTACACGCTTTGATTATGGTAGATTGGGTCTAAAAGATTCAGCTGGTTTCTTCCATTTATTTTGTTCTGTCTGCATAACAAGGTCACATAGTTGATTATAGCAGTTTTCTGTGTGTCATATTGTTGGCCTGACACATGATATCAAATAAGAGGTACCAGAATTTTCTGTGCAGTCTGAAGCTGTGTGTGTACAACGACAAGTGAAAAATCTTAATTATTTGGACTTTTGGGTTCCATGATGCCAGAGAAAGCCAGACACCAGGAGCTGGAATCAGCTAAGACCTAAGACCCTGCATGCACATACAGATGTTTGCATTTTCTTCCTATTGCAACATTCAGCCATTGCTTTGGCAACTATTTCAATAATATATTACTGCTCATCAAAGTGGAAATAATGTTCTGTTACTAGTTGAGTATTGAAACGCTCTTCATAGTTTTGTGAGTTTGACTCAGCTCCAACATGAAAGACCCATTTCTTCAACTTACTTTGGCAACAGGAGAGATTGACTAATGTGCTTCAAAGTGATCCACTGCTGTTTCTGTTTATCTTTCTTCAATCCTACTGGGCCATGGGAAGAAGAGGTAGCAGGCATTCTTATTTGCCTCAACCAGGAAGCACAAGGCCATCCCAGGGCGGGGCAGGAGGGAGGTGAGAGGGAAGAAGCATGCTCCACAGGGCCATTGTTTACCTTGTTGGCCAGTCAGGTCCTCTCAGGGTGGGTTTTCTGGGATAAGAGCAAAGCTTATTGGTTTTCCTTGCTGTGCCATGAGAGCACACCAGGTCACCCCAGCAGCCTCGCTTGCCTTCCCACAGCCTGCCCTTGCCTAGGGTTTCGGCTGATATCCTTTCCACTCAGGAGGAGAAACCAGAGAAAACATGGAGGAAGTGTTTCCAGTGTTAAGACTTTAGACCAAACTATAGAAATCTGTTCTACCTGGAAACCTGAAGAAATCAATCATGACTGCTATTCAGTAGAGGTAAAATAAAAAAAACAGCTTTACTGATTAGGAGTCATAGGAAGGCTTTCTGTGTAGCCTCTCTGAGAGCTGCCTACTGGAAGGATTTGTCCTCAAAACGTGAGGATTTGTAGTGTTCCAGGGTTTATATGATACTGGCAGGATAGTTGGCTAATCTAGAGGGCTGTGCTTCGAACTTTATCCAAGGGATGTAAGCTGTGTGTTGAGGTTACTGAGCGTC